TCCGGCCTATTGACGTTGGCTCTCAACTCTGGTCCACCCACGCATCCAAAGATTCCAAACAAAATCCTAGACAATTATTTTCTGGACCCTAATTAATTGCTAAACCCAACATGGTGGTGATAGGCCCCTCTCGTGCTGATACGCAATCCTTTGCTTTTCATCTACTCTTGTCTTTTAAGCCCCTGGTCCACCCACACATCCAAAGATTCCAAACAAAATCCTAGACAATTATTTTCTACGCCCTAATTAATGGCTAAACCCAACATGGTGGTGATAGCCCCTCTCGTGCTGATACGCAAGCCTAAAGCCGCTTTTCATCTACTCTTGTCTTTTAGCGCCCCCCCCCGCGCAATTTCTACTTCTTGTCATCTAAGTCTAAATAGCACCTCTTGCACTTGCTTGACGAAATTTCGACGATGCCGTGTGGATAATTCGCGCCAAATCACCGATTATATATGCCGAGGGCATAGAAGCAACAGTAAACATACACAGCCACAACGGCAACCATTACAGAGAGCTAGCTAGCTTGATTAGGTGAGTAGGGGCTGCAGTGCGCATTCATGGCGTTTTCTGTGGAGAAGTGGGTAGGGTTCGGGTCGGCCATGGCTGGCTTCGGCTTGCTTTGGTCGAGGATGCCGCAGCACGTCCATGATGAGGCTAGGCACATCATCAGTAGCTTGGTTCCCATGGTGATGTCCTACTTCAACCCCTATGAGCAGATCACCATCTCCGAGTACGGTGAAGAGCGGTTCGAATGGAACAAAATGTTCTTCGCCGTTTCCACCTACCTGAGAATGGTGTGCTTGGATCATGCAAGCAAGCTCAAGGCCGAGCTCTCGCAACAACAGCAAGGATGACCCGCTTATCAGTCCCGGACAAGAACCAAGAGGTCGTCGACAATTTCGACGGACCGCGCATGTGGTGGAGGCTGTGCCCCAAATCCGCCAAGAACAGGGGGCCCACCGTCATCAGCTTGTTGCCTGGGGATTCCGACGATGAGCCTCGGTGCTACAGGCTGGTGTTTCACAAGCGCCACCGCAAACTTGTGCTCGACTCCTACCTGCCCAGCATCGTCCGGCAGTGGCGCGAGATAATCGCCACGAACCGGCAGAGGCTACTGTTCACCAACCACTCCCAAGAAGGGAAGAGCAGGTGGATCAATGTCCCGTACAATCCCCCGGCGACGTTCGACATGCTCGCCATGGACCACAGCAAGAAGATCGAGATCATGGAGGATCTCACGGCATTCCGTGAGGCGGCGAGTACCACTCCAAGGTCGGCAAAGGCGTGGAAGCGGGGATACCTCCTGCATGGACCGCCGGGCACAGGCAAGTCCACCATGATCGGGGCTATGGCCAACTTCCTCGAGTATGATGTCTACGACCTCGACCTAACATCCATCAAGGACAACGCCGAGCTGCGGAAGCTCTTCCTTGATACGACGGACAGATCCATCATCGTTATCGAGGACATCGACGCGATTGAGGTCGAACTCACCACCAAGCGCAAGGGCAAGGAGGCAGCCAAAGAGAATGACGACAACCACCTGGTGATAGAGCTGTCCGAGAAGAATAACAAAGGCAAAGTGACGCTGTCGGGGCTGCTCAGCTTTGTCGACGGGCTGTGGTCGGCCTGCGGCAGCGAGCGGATCTTCGTGTTCACCACGAACCACGTTGACCGGCTCGACCCGGCGCTGATCCGGCGGGGTAGGATGGACAGGCACATTGAGATGTCCTACTGCCGGTTCGAGGCCTTCAAGATGCTCGCTAAAAGCTATCTAGACATCACTGAGCATTCACTATTCGGTGAAATCGGGCAACTGCTCGATGAGATCGACACAACTCCGGCAGACGTGGCAGATAACCTCATGCCGCGCGGCAAGAGGAACGGTGAAATCGATCGATTGCTCGATGAGATGAATGGGGCACCGGCAGACGTGGCCGGTAACCTCATGCTGCGGGTCAAGAGGAGAGAAGCAGATGACTGCTTGGCAGGTTTAGTGGAAACACTGAAGAAGGCTAAGATGAAAGCTGCAGCACCTCCTATGGATTCAGTGGAAGAGGCGAAAGAGGAATAACCTAACGCACAAGAAAGTTAGACAGGGGGCCAGATATATAATAAGGGTTGCTAGATCTTTGTCTTGTGCTATTTTACATAATTTTCGTGTTTGTTAGTCACTTAAGCTTGGATACGTCATAACCTCAACTGCTACTTATGTTCTGTAGAATTTGTCTTGTCAACCTTTCAAACTTTGATGAATAATATGTTTGCCATTTATATATAAAATTGTCATTGGATTTATCATGAATTCTTTTATAGTACCATCACTAGAAAGGCGTGCGGCGTTGCCGCGCAGTGCCTGTCTTATGTCGAAGTATTATAGTTGATAAAAAAATTATTTCATGTACGGAGTAATAATAATTGTACGTAGACAGATGTATGTTTTTTTAAGCAACGTTGGTAAGACAAATCCTTGGTTTGCAAGAAAACGTACGTGAAAAGATTATAGGTGGAAATTATGTGTAGTAATATGGAGCGACCTTCGTAGCTACGTGAATATATACAAATGTTAGTGTATGTATTTAAATCACCTGTTTAGCCCTACAAAAATGGATGTTATTGATATGTATTGTGTTCGTCATACAAGCAATTTTTATATGAAGTATAGAATTTGCAAAAAAAAAAAGTCGAATTTTTGTAAATGGGCAACAACGTTCATAGACGTGGTTATTTAATAGTATAATCACATGCATGGATTTTATACGGTGGAAATAAACCTTTGGTTGATTTGGTTTCTCAAATATTATTATACAGATGCCAAATAAAATCTGGAGCATGATTATCTGGAAGTAAATGATAAAATTACTTCAATATGTGAAATGGATATAGATGGACAAACGGAATCGTTAATGTTGAATATTTGAATTGCACTAATGTGTACGATATTATATATCTATTGCATAGATCTCGTTATGAGAAACAAAACAGAACTTGTTTTTTTATTTTATGACTTTTGTATGTTTTCATATAGATTTCATAACTTTTATTAGCAGATTAAAACATGATGAAAGTAAAAGGAAAACCTAATACGACAAACATTTTGCACTTAGGCCCCTATACTTTTCCTTATTCTCAATGTGCTACGATGTATAGTTAACAACTGTTTATATGTGTCTGGAGATTTTGCATTGGGAATCCTGAAAAAGCTTCTATTTTGCTTTCCTCACCCAGGAGCGCTCAGCAGAGCAGACGCACGACGCAGGGTGCCGGCGCCCGGCGTCGATCCGGATGGGGACGGCCTCAGCGCCGACGCCTGGTCTGCCGACGAGCTGCGCTGGTCCCGCGCGGTCACCGGGGCCAGCCGTGCCTCGGCCACGCGCTGGTCATCCAGCTGCAGCAGGAAGTTCCTGAGCCTCGCCGCGCGCTGGTCGTCCAGCTGCAGCAGGAAGTTCCTGAGCCTGGCCGCGCCGTCGCGCGCCTCGGTCAGATCGTTCCGCGCCACGGCCACCCTTGCCGCCGTTACGCCGCTGCCCGACGACGCCATCGATGGATCCTATAGTACCTAGACCACCATGCCGTCGATCTAGAAAACCCACAGTTGGCGAGCAGCTTCGTGCTCGGGCTGTTGTTATATCTAGACATGCACTGCACACTAGCTCCTCTCTGCGAGCGAGGTAGAAAGATGCGAGGAAATAACTTGCGGTGCCTGCTAATTGTGCGCTGTTCTTAATTTACCCCGTGGTTGTCTAGGAGGGAAAAAAGCGGTATGGAAAGGTTGAAAAGAGTGAGGGGAGGAAGCTGCATGGAAGGAACTAGAGCATGGGAGTAAGTGGAGCCCGGTGCCGGACTGCCGGCGGATTGGCCTCTGGCCATAACCGATGGATACCCAGAGGTGGGAAAGGATGCCACCAGTCTACCGGACCGACCGAACTGCCGCTAGCTCGGTGCAAGGGACGGAGCCGTCATCACGATGACACAGGCAGCGTGAGATCACGCATACGCAAGGTCTTTGACCGGAGTGTACCGGGTCTCGCAGGCAATGCCTGGGCAAATTCTCCGATCACCGTCCATCAATTATTTCCCGTATTTCTGCTACAAAGAAGGGCATTCATAATTTTACCAGCCACTTGACGCCGTGACTAGGCCAAATGGACGGCAGTGCTATCTAGGGAAGAAAATTTTAACTTGGTGCCAAATAAGAAAGTCCAATTTTTTTAGTGCCAAATGCGGAAGACTGATTTGTTTCAGTGCCAAATACATAATTCTCCCATAAAATTAACACGGACTTTGCAATCTTTCGCCGGCCTTTCGCCTGTACAAATCTTCTTTCACTAGGGTGAACACGTACTGTACCTTTGTTTTTTCGCCTGCAAAAATCTTGGCCTCCAGCTTTTAGGTGACATGTCAATTTTTTTTATAAATAGCAATTAACCATCCGGCCTATTGACGTTGGCTCTCAACTCTGGTCCACCCACGCATCCAAAGATTCCAAACAAAATCCTAGACAATTATTTTCTGGACCCTAATTAATTGCTAAACCCAACATGGTGGTGATAGGCCCCTCCCGTGCTGATACGCAATCCTTTGCTTTTCATCTACTCTTGTCTTTTAGCGCCCCTGGTCCACCCACACATCCAAAGATTCCAAACAAAATCCTAGACAATTATTTTCTACGCCCTAATTAATGGCTAAACCCAACATGGTGGTGATAGCCCCTCTCGTGCTGATACGCAAGCCTAAAGCCGCTTTTCATCTACTCTTGTCTTTTAGCGCCCCCCCCCCCGCGCAATTTCTACTTCTTGTCATCTAAGTCTAAATAGCACCTCTTGCACTTGCTTCGACGAAATTTCGACGATGCCGTGTGGATAATTTACGCGCCAAATCACCGATTATATATGCCGAGGGCATAGAAGCAACAGTAAACATACACAGCCACAACGGCAACCATTACAGAGAGCTAGCTAGCTTGATTAGGTGAGTAGGGGCTGCAGTGCGCATTCATGGCGTTTTCTGTGGAGAAGTGGGTAGGGTTCGGGTCGGCCATGGCTGGCTTCGGCTTGCTTTGGTCGAGGATGCATAAGCACGTCCATGATGAGGCTAGGCACATCATCAGTAGCTTGGTTCCCATGGTGATGTCCTACTTCAACCCCTATGAGCAGATCACCATCTCCGAGTACGGTGAAGAGCGGTTCGAATGGAACAAAATGTTCTTCGCCGTTTCCACCTACCGAGAATGGTGTGCTTGGATCATGCAAGCAAGCTCAAGGCCGAGCTCGGCAACAACAGCAAGGATGACCCGCTTATCGGTCTGGACAAGAACCAAGAGGTCGTCGACAATTTCGATGAGCCCGCATGTGGTGGAGGCTGTGCCCCAAATCCGCCAAGAACAGGGGGCCCACCGTCATCAGCTTGTTGCCCGGGATTCCGACGATGAGCCTCGGTGCTACAGGCTGGTGTTTCACAAGCGCCACCGCAAACTTGTGCTCGACTCCTACCTGCCCAAAGATCGTCCAAGAAGTGGCGCGAGATAATCGCCACGAACCGGCAGAGGCTACTGTTCACCAACCACTCCCAAGAAGGGAAGAGCAGGTGGATCAATGTCCCGTACAATCCCCGGCGACGTTCGACATGCTCGCCATGGACCACAGCAAGAAGATCGAGATCATGGAGGATCTCACGGCATTCCGTGAGGAGGCGAAGAGTACCACTCCAAGGTCGGCAAGGCGTGGAAGCGGGGATACCTCCTGCATGGACCGCCGGGCACAGGCAAGTCCACCATGATCGGGGCTATGGCCAACTTCCTCGAGTATGATGTCTACGACCTCGACCTAACATCCATCAAGGACAACGCCGAGCTGCGGAAGCTCTTCCTTGATACGACGGACAGATCCATCATCGTTATCGAGGACATCGACGCGATTGAGGTCGAACTCACCACCAAGCGCAAGGGCAAGGAGGCAGCCAAAGAGAATGACGACAACCACCTGGTGATAGAGCTGTCCGAGAAGAATAACAAAGGCAAAGTGACGCTGTCGGGGCTGCTCAGCTTTGTCGACGGGCTGTGGTCGGCCTGCGGCAGCGAGCGGATCTTCGTGTTCACCACGAACCACGTTGACCGGCTCGACCCGGCGCTGATCCGGCGGGGTAGGATGGACAGGCACATTGAGATGTCCTACTGCCGGTTCGAGGCCTTCAAGATGCTCGCTAAAAGCTATCTAGACATCACTGAGCATTCACTATTCGGTGAAATCGGGCAACTGCTCGATGAGATCGACACAACTCCGGCAGACGTGGCAGATAACCTCATGCCGCGCGGCAAGAGGAACGGTGAAATCGATCGATTGCTCGATGAGATGAATGGGGCACCGGCAGACGTGGCCGGTAACCTCATGCTGCGGGTCAAGAGGAGAGAAGCAGATGACTGCTTGGCAGGTTTAGTGGAAACACTGAAGAAGGCTAAGATGAAAGCTGCAGCACCTCCTATGGATTCAGTGGAAGAGGCGAAAGAGGAATAACCTAACGCACAAGAAAGTTAGACAGGGGGCCAGATATATAATAAGGGTTGCTAGATCTTTGTCTTGTGCTATTTTACATAATTTTCGTGTTTGTTAGTCACTTAAGCTTGGATACGTCATAACCTCAACTGCTACTTATGTTCTGTAGAATTTGTCTTGTCAACCTTTCAAACTTTGATGAATAATATGTTTGCCATTTATATATAAAATTGTCATTGGATTTATCATGAATTCTTTTATAGTACCATCACTAGAAAGGCGTGCGGCGTTGCCGCGCAGTGCCTGTCTTATGTCGAAGTATTATAGTTGATAAAAAAATTATTTCATGTACGGAGTAATAATAATTGTACGTAGACAGATGTATGTTTTTTTAAGCAACGTTGGTAAGACAAATCCTTGGTTTGCAAGAAAACGTAACGAAAAAAAGATTATAGGTGGAAATTATGTGTAGTAATATGGAGCGACCTTCGTAGCTACGTGAATATATACAAATGTTAGTGTATGTATTTAAATCACCTGTTTAGCCCTACAAAAATGGATGTTATTGATATGTATTGTGTTCGTCATACAAGCAATTTTTATATGAAGTATAGAATTTGCAAAAAAAAAAAAGTCGAATTTTTGTAAATGGGCAACAACGTTCATAGACGTGGTTATTTAATAGTATAATCACATGCATGGATTTTATACGGTGGAAATAAACCTTTGGTTGATTTGGTTTCTCAAATATTATTATACAGATGCCAAATAAAATCTGGAGCATGATTATCTGGAAGTAAATGATAAAATTACTTCAATATGTGAAATGGATATAGATGGACAAACGGAATCGTTAATGTTGAATATTTGAATTGCACTAATGTGTACGATATTATATATCTATTGCATAGATCTCGTTATGAGAAACAAAACAGAACTTGTTTTTTTATTTTATGACTTTTGTATGTTTTCATATAGATTTCATAACTTTTATTAGCAGATTAAAACATGATGAAAGTAAAAGGAAAACCTAATACGACAAACATTTTGCACTTAGGCCCCTATACTTTTCCTTATTCTCAATGTGCTACGATGTATAGTTAACAACTGTTTATATGTGTCTGGAGATTTTGCATTGGGAATCCTGAAAAAGCTTCTATTTTGCTTTCCTCACCCAGGAGCGCTCAGCAGAGCAGAGCACGCACGCAGGGTGCCGACGCCGGCGTCGATCCGGATGGGGACGGCCTCAGCGCCGACGCCTGGTCTGCCGACGAGCTGCGCTGGTCCCGCGCGGTCACCGGGGCCAGCCGTGCCTCGGCCGAGCGCTGGTCATCCAGCTGCAGCAGGAAGTTCCTGAGCCTCGCCGCGCGCTGGTCGTCCAGCTGCAGCAGGAAGTTCCTGAGCCTGGCCGCGCCGTCGCGCGCCTCGGTCAGATCGTTCCGCGCCACGGCCGCCCTTGCCGCCGTTACGCCGCTGCCCGACGACGCCATCGATGGATCCTATAGTACCTAGACCACCATGCCGTCGATCTAGAAAACCCACAGTTGGCGAGCAGCTTCGTGCTCGGGCTGTTGTTATATCTAGACATGCACTGCACACTAGCTCCTCTCTGCGAGCGAGGTAGAAAGATGCGAGGAAATAACTTGCGGTGCCTGCTAATTGTGCGCTGTTCTTAATTTACCCCGTGGTTGTCTAGGAGGGAAAAAAGCGGTATGGAAAGGTTGAAAAGAGTGAGGGGAGGAAGCTGCATGGAAGGAACTAGAGCATGGGAGTAAGTGGAGCCCGGTGCCGGACTGCCGGCGGATTGGCCTCTGGCCATAACCGATGGATACCCAGAGGTGGGAAAGGATGCCACCAGTCTACCGGACCGACCGAACTGCCGCTAGCTCGGTGCAAGGGACGGAGCCGTCATCACGATGACACAGGCAGCGTGAGATCACGCATACGCAAGGTCTTTGACCGGAGTGTACCGGGTCTCGCAGGCAATGCCTGGGCAAATTCTCCGATCACCGTCCATCAATTATTTCCCGTATTTCTGCTACAAAGAAGGGCATTCATAATTTTACCAGCCACTTGACGCCGTGACTAGGCCAAATGGACGGCAGTGCTATCTAGGGAAGAAAATTTTAACTTGGTGCCAAATAAGAAAGTCCAATTTTTTTAGTGCCAAATGCGGAAGACTGATTTGTTTCAGTGCCAAATACATAATTCTCCCATAAAATTAACACGGACTTTGCAATCTTTCGCCGACCTTTTCGCCTGTACAAATCTTCTTTCACTAGGGTGAACACGTACTGTACCTTTGTTTTTTCGCCTGCAAAAATCTTGGCCTCCAGCTTTTAGGTGACATGTCAATTTTTTTATAAATAGCAATTAACCATCCGGCCTATTGACGTTGGCTCTCAACTCTGGTCCACCCACGCATCCAAAGATTCCAAACAAAATCCTAGACAATTATTTTCTGGACCCTAATTAATTGCTAAACCCAACATGGTGGTGATAGGCCCCTCTCGTGCTGATACGCAATCCTTTGCTTTTCATCTACTCTTGTCTTTTAGCGCCCCTGGTCCACCCACACATCCAAAGATTCCAAACAAAATCCTAGACAATTATTTTCTACGCCCTAATTAATGGCTAAACCCAACATGGTGGTGATAGCCCCTCTCGTGCTGATACGCAAGCCTAAAGCCGCTTTTCATCTACTCTTGTCTTTTAGCGCCCCCCCCCCGCGCAATTTCTACTTCTTGTCATCTAAGTCTAAATAGCACCTCTTGCACTTGCTTCGACGAAATTTCGACGATGCCGTGTGGATAATTTACGCGCCAAATCACCGATTATATATGCCGAGGGCATAGAAGCAACAGTAAACATACACAGCCACAACGGCAACCATTACAGAGAGCTAGCTAGCTTGATTAGGTGAGTAGGGGCTGCAGTGCGCATTCATGGCGTTTTCTGTGGAGAAGTGGGTAGGGTTCGGGGTCGGCCATGGCTGGCTTCGGCTTGCTTTGGTCGAGGATGCCGCAGCACGTCCATGATGAGGCTAGGCACATCATCAGTAGCTTGGTTCCCATGGTGATGTCCTACTTCAACCCCTATGAGCAGATCACCATCTCCGAGTACGGTGAAGAGCGGTTCGAATGGAACAAAATGTTCTTCGCCGTTTCCACCTACCTGAGAATGGTGTGCTTGGATCATGCAAGCAAGCTCAAGGCCGAGCTCGGCAACAACAGCAAGGATGACCCGCTTATCAGTCTGGACAAGAACCAAGAGGTCGTCGACAATTTCGACGGAGCCCGCATGTGGTGGAGGCTGTGCCCCAAATCCGCCAAGAACAGGGGGCCCACCGTCATCAGCTTGTTGCCTGGGGATTCCGACGATGAGCCTCGGTGCTACAGGCTGGTGTTTCACAAGCGCCACCGCAAACTTGTGCTCGACTCCTACCTGCCCAGCATCGTCCGGCAGTGGCGCGAGATAATCGCCACGAACCGGCAGAGGCTACTGTTCACCAACCACTCCCAAGAAGGGAAGAGCAGGTGGATCAATGTCCCGTACAATCCCCCGGCGACGTTCGACATGCTCGCCATGGACCACAGCAAGAAGATCGAGATCATGGAGGATCTCACGGCATTCCGTGAGGCGAAGGAGTACCACTCCAAGGTCGGCAAGGCGTGGAAGCGGGGATACCTCCTGCATGGACCGCCGGGCACAGGCAAGTCCACCATGATCGGGGGCTATGGCCAACTTCCTCGAGTATGATGTCTACGACCTCGACCTAACATCCATCAAGGACAACGCCGAGCTGCGGAAGCTCTTCCTTGATACGACGGACAGATCCATCATCGTTATCGAGGACATCGACGCGATTGAGGTCGAACTCACCACCAAGCGCAAGGGCAAGGAGGCAGCCAAAGAGAATGACGACAACCACCTGGTGATAGAGCTGTCCCGAGAAGAATAACAAAGGCAAAGTGACGCTGTCGGGCTGCTCAGCTTTGTCGGACGGGCTGTGGTCGGCCTGCGGCAGCGAAGCGGATCTTCGTGTTCACCACGAACCACGTTGACCGGCTCGACCGGCGCTGATCCGGCGGGTAGGATGGACAGGCACATTGAGATGTCCTACTGCCGGTTCGAGGCCTTCAAGATGCTCGCTAAAAGCTATCTAGACATCACTGAGCATTCACTATTCGGTGAAATCGGGCAACTGCTCGATGAGATCGACACAACTCCGCAGACGTGGCAGATAACCTCATGCCGCGCGGCAAGAGGAACGGTGAAATCGATCGATTGCTCGATGAGATGAATGGGGCACCGGCAGACGTGGCCGGTAACCTCATGCTGCGGGTCAAGAGGAGAGAAGCAGATGACTGCTTGGCAGGTTTAGTGGAAACACTGAAGAAGGCTAAGATGAAAGCTGCAGCACCTCCTATGGATTCAGTGGAAGAGGCGAAAGAGGAATAACCTAACGCACAAGAAAGTTAGACAGGGGGGCCAGATATATAATAAGGGTTGCTAGATCTTTGTCTTGTGCTATTTTACATAATTTTCGTGTTTGTTAGTCACTTAAGCTTGGATACGTCATAACCTCAACTGCTACTTATGTTCTGTAGAATTTGTCTTGTCAACCTTTCAAACTTTGATGAATAATATGTTTGCCATTTATATATAAAATTGTCATTGGATTTATCATGAATTCTTTTATAGTACCATCACTAGAAAGGCGTGCGGCGTTGCCGCGCAGTGCCTGTCTTATGTCGAAGTATTATAGTTGATAAAAAAATTATTTCATGTACGGAGTAATAATAATTGTACGTAGACAGATGTATGTTTTTTTTAAGCAACGTTGGTAAGACAAATCCTTGGTTTGCAAGAAAACGTACGTGAAAAGATTATAGGTGGAAATTATGTGTAGTAATATGGAGCGACCTTCGTAGCTACGTGAATATATACAAATGTTAGTGTATGTATTTAAATCACCTGTTTAGCCCTACAAAAATGGATGTTATTGATATGTATTGTGTTCGTCATACAAGCAATTTTTATATGAAGTATAGAATTTGCAAAAAAAAAAAAAAAAAAGTCGAATTTTTGTAAATGGGCAACAACGTTCATAGACGTGGTTATTTAATAGTATAATCACATGCATGGATTTTATACGGTGGAAATAAACCTTTGGTTGATTTGGTTTCTCAAATATTATTATACAGATGCCAAATAAAATCTGGAGCATGATTATCTGGAAGTAAATGATAAAATTACTTCAATATGTGAAATGGATATAGATGGACAAACGGAATCGTTAATGTTGAATATTTGAATTGCACTAATGTGTACGATATTATATATCTATTGCATAGATCTCGTTATGAGAAACAAAACAGAACTTGTTTTTTTATTTTATGACTTTTGTATGTTTTCATATAGATTTCATAACTTTTATTAGCAGATTAAAACATGATGAAAGTAAAAGGAAAACCTAATACGACAAACATTTTGCACTTAGGCCCCTATACTTTTCCTTATTCTCAATGTGCTACGATGTATAGTTAACAACTGTTTATATGTGTCTGGAGATTTTGCATTGGGAATCCTGAAAAAGCTTCTATTTTGCTTTCCTCACCCAGGAGCGCTCAGCAGAGCAGAGCACGACGCAGGGTGTGCGACGCCGCGGCGTCGATCCGGATGGGGACGGCCTCAGCGCCGACGCCTGGTCTGCCGACGAGCTGCGCTGGTCCCGCGCGGTCACCGGGGCCAGCCGTGCCTCGGCCGGGCGCTGGTCATCCAGCTGCAGCAGGAAGTTCCTGAGCCTCGCCGCACGCTGGTCGTCCAGCTGCAGCAGGAAGTTCCTGAGCCTGGCCGCGCCGTCGCGCGCCTCGGTCAGATCGTTCCGCGCCACGGCCGCCCTTGCCGCCGTTACGCGCTGCGCTGCCCGCAGCGCCATCGATGGATCCTATAGTACCTAGACCACCATGCCGTCGATCTAGAAAACCCACAGTTGGCGAGCAGCTTCGTGCTCGGGCTGTTGTTATATCTAGACATGCACTGCACACTAGCTCCTCTCTGCGAGCGAGGTAGAAAGATGCGAGGAAATAACTTGCGGTGCCTGCTAATTGTGCGCTGTTCTTAATTTACCCCGTGGTTGTCTGGGAGGGAAAAAAGCGGTATGGAAAGGTTGAAAAGAGTGAGGGGAGGAAGCTGCATGGAAGGAACTAGAGCATGGGAGTAAGTGGAGCCGGTGCCGGACTGCGGCGGATTGGCCTCTGGCCATAACCGATGGATACCCAGAGGTGGGAAAGGATGCCACCAGTCTACCGGACCGACCGAACTGCCGCTAGCTCGGTGCAAGGGACGGAGCCGTCATCACGATGACACAGGCAGCGTGAGATCACGCGATACGCAAGGTCTTTGACCGAGTGTACGGGTCTCGCAGGCAATGCCTGGGCAAATTCTCCGATCACCGTCCATCAATTATTTCCCGTATTTCTGCTACAAAGAAGGGCATTCATAATTTTACCAGCCACTTGACGCCGTGACTAGGCCAAATGGACGGCAGTGCTATCTAGGGAAGAAAATTTTAACTTGGTGCCAAATAAGAAAGTCCAATTTTTTTAGTGCCAAATGCGGAAGACTGATTTGTTTCAGTGCCAAATACATAATTCTCCCATAAAATTAACACGGACTTTGCAATCTTTCGCCGGCCTTTCGCCTGTACAAATCTTCTTTCACTAGGGTGAACACGTACTGTACCTTTGTTTTTTCGCCTGCAAAAATCTTGGCCTCCAGCTTTTAGGTGACATGTCAATTTTTTTATAAATAGCAATTAACCATCCGGCCTATTGACGTTGGCTCTCAACTCTGGTCCACCCACGCATCCAAAGATTCCAAACAAAATCCTAGACAATTATTTTCTGGACCCTAATTAATTGCTAAACCCAACATGGTGGTGATAGGCCCCTCTCGTGCTGATACGCAATCCTTTGCTTTTCATCTACTCTTGTCTTTTAGCGCCCTGGTCCACCCACACATCCAAAGATTCCAAACAAAATCCTAGACAATTATTTTCTACGCCCTAATTAATGGCTAAACCCAACATGGTGGTGATAGCCCCTCTCGTGCTGATACGCAAGCCTAAAGCCGCTTTTCATCTACTCTTGTCTTTTAGCGCCCCCAGCGCAATTTCTACTTCTTGTCATCTAAGTCTAAATAGCACCTCTTGCACTTGCTTTGACGAAATTTCGACGATGCCGTGTGGATAATTTACGCGCCAAATCACCGATTATATATGCCGAGGGCATAGAAGCAACAGTAAACATACACAGCCACAACGGCAACCATTACAGAGAGCTAGCTAGCTTGATTAGGTGAGTAGGGGCTGCAGTGCGCATTCATGGCGTTTTTTCTGTGGAGAAGTGGGTAGGGTTGGGTCGGCCATGGCTGGCTTCGCTTGCTTTGGTCGAGGATGCGCAGCACGTCCATGATGAGGCTAGGCACATCATCAGTAGCTTGGTTCCCATGGTGATGTCCTACTTCAACCCCTATGAGCAGATCACCATCTCCGAGTACGGTGAAGAGCGGTTCGAATGGAACAAAATGTTCTTCGCCGCTTCCACCTACCGAGAATGGTGTGCTTGGATCATGCAAGCAAGCTCAAGGCCGAGCTCGGCAACAACAAGCAAGGATGACCCGCTTATCGGTCTGGACAAGAACCAAGAGGTCGTCGACAATTTCGACGGAGCCCGCATGTGGTGGAGGCTGTGCCCCAAATCCGCCAAGAACAGGGGGCCCACCGTCATCAGCTTTGTTGCTGGGGATTCCGGACGATGAGCCTCGGTGCTACAGGCTGGTGTTTCACAAGCGCCACCGCAAACTTGTGCTCGACTCCTACCTGCCCAGCATCGTCCGGCAGTGGCGCGAGATAATCGCCACGAACCGGCAGAGGCTACTGTTCACCAACCACTCCCAAGAAGGGAAGAGCAGGTGGATCAATGTCCCGTACAATCCCCCGGCGACGTTGACATGCTCGCCATGGACCACAGCAAGAAGATCGAGATCATGGAGGATCTCACGGCATTCCGTGAGGCGAAGGAGTACCACTCCAAGGTCGGCAAGGCGTGGAAGCGGGATACCTCCTGCATGGACCGCCGGGCACAGGCAAGTCCACCATGATCGGGGCTATGGCCAACTTCCTCGAGTATGATGTCTACGACCTCGACCTAACATCCATCAAGGACAACGCCGAGCTGCGGAAGCTCTTCCTTGATACGACGGACAGATCCATCATCGTTATCGAGGACATCGACGCGATTGAGGTCGAACTCACCACCAAGCGCAAGGGCAAGGAGGCAGCCAAAGAGAATGACGACAACCACCTGGTGATAGAGCTGTCCGAGAAGAATAACAAAGGCAAAGTGACGCTGTCGGGCTGCTCAGCTTTGTCGACGGGTTGTGGTCGGCCTGCGCGGCAGCGAAGCGGATCTTCGTGTTCACCACGAACCACGTTGACCGGCTCGACCCGGCGCTGATCCGGCGGGGTAGGATGGACAGGCACATTGAGATGTCCTACTGCCGGTTCGAGGCCTTCAAGATGCTCGCTAAAAGCTATCTAGACATCACTGAGCATTCACTATTCGGTGAAATCGGGCAACTGCTCGATGAGATCGACACAACTCCGGGCAGACGTGGCAGATAACCTCATGCCGCGCGGCAAGAGGAACGGTGAAATCGATCGATTGCTCGATGAGATGAATGGGGCACCGGCAGACGTGGCCGGTAACCTCATGCTGCGGGTCAAGAGGAGAGAAGCAGATGACTGCTTGGCAGGTTTAGTGGAAACACTGAAGAAGGCTAAGATGAAAGCTGCAGCACCTCCTATGGATTCAGTGGAAGAGGCGAAAGAGGAATAACCTAACGCACAAGAAAGTTAGACAGGGGGCCAGATATATAATAAGGGTTGCTAGATCT